TTGTTGGTTTTGGGCTTTGTGCTGCACAGAGGTCTCCACGGACTTCTATATTACTGATAGAAAGTCTGGCATGAGAGCTTTGGTAAAAGCTGGCTCTGGCTGTAAAGTTATTCCCCTGATCATTGAGAGCAAACTAGTCACTACCACAAGAGGAAACAGGGTTCTATCCACGAACCTGAGAAAATGGTTAAGGGAAAGAAACTTTCCTGCTGAAGCCCGTCTACTTTGTGTAAAAGAAGGGTAATCAAACTTATATGCGAACGCACCATTTAATTTCTAGCAGCTTTTGCATGATGTGTAAATTTATGTTTTGAGTTTTGCAGATATGTACAGGAAGGGGGCCCTGTGACTGTAATTGGAATGCTGCACAGAGATAACAATACAGTGATGATCCTTCAACCACCAGAGCTCATATCTACAGGATGTCTATGGCAAAGACTTTTTCTCCCTGTTGATGTTGATGGTCTGATTCTGGGAGTCCCAGATCAGGCTGGCCCCTTAACCAGCCCAAATCCAATGCCATGTCCTGAAAATTAATGGACCATTGAAAGAAAACAGGAATTGTTTAGGACTCACAAGAGATTTTGGCTAATGAACTCAATTTCCCATAGAATTCTCATAGGTAATAGTAATTTTACTTCATAAGTAGCTGTAACTATGGATTTTCCAGCAGGGTTATTTTTACCAGATACTGGGAACTGATAAATTCTAACAAAGTTTCACTTGCCCATAATCTATGTTTATCAATTATTATTTCCTGTCATTATGATTTGCCAAGTCTTGAAGATATTGCCTGGAGTAAGATCAAACCAGTATAGACTAATATAGGGTTATTCAAATTGTGGTGGAAAAACGAAAAGAGATAGAGAGCAGAACTGAACAGAGAAGTTGATGCAAACAAGGTTAAAAATATTCAAGATACTCAAATAGCATCAAAAAGTGATTTGGAGCAAATTTCAAATGATGTAAACACAAATAGAGTTCTAAACTTAAAAAGTTTCAGTAGAGCAATAACAAGATCAAAGGCAAAGAAGGTTAAAGAACTGATCCAAGTTTTCACTCAAAAACATGTGGATGATGGGCTGGGCAATTTTAAAAAGTTCAAATATGAGCTTTCTGAACAGCCCAAATTCGTAACTTTAATTGAGTTTAAATGATTTGGGATAATTTGAAATTATTTGAGTCTTATTGGTAATGGGTAAATAAGTCTTGTGTATGAGCTGGATTAGTTGAGTTGTTTTAAGTATTTTTGATTGTTTTATTTTAGTTTGAGTTAATTAAACCCATATAGTCAAGTGTAACTCATTTTGGGCTTAAGTCTTGTTTTAGTATTATTACAAGAATTAGCTCATTACTATATGGTGCCACAAACAATTAGTGGTGTTGGTTAAGAAGATTGGAGTTACAAGGAGTTACATAACAATTACATGTCTATAATTAAACTAGTTATTGTTGGAGTTACAATTGTAATTATCATATAATTAACCTAGTTATTGTGGGAGTTACAATTATAGTTATTGTATTGTAACTTATCATTGATTTATTTGGCTATAAATATCAAATGAACTCTTCTTTATGAACATCAAGAGTTATAATAAAATATTTAAGAATTGTGTTGAGAGCGTTTTAACTTTCTTTTCACTTTATGCACAAGGTGTTGATTTAGAATACAATTGTTATCACTTGTATTTCAATTGTTCTTGGTGCTTGTTTTGATTGGATTCAAGGGATATCATTTATTTTTCTTGGGTTTTATTTAACTTCTACCATTTGGGTGATTAAACAAATTTGCTTCCTTTTTACTTGAGATCTAAATTCTATTCTAAACTGATTGAATAGTTCTAAGGTTCAAGTAAGGGTCTTGGGATTCCGCATCATTTGGTATCAGAGCATTGGTTCACCAAGTAAATTAGTCTATCTTTATTTTATTGTTTTTATTTTCATTATTTCTTGCAAAAAAAAAAAAGAAAAAGAAAGAGACAAATATGCTTTCAGCAAAAAAAAAAAAATCAGATTAACCTAATTTGCTTAATTGTGCAAAACACACTTCAACTAATTCTACCTTGTGTAATTGAAACACCTGCTGTTATTTCTCTTTTATTTATCTCATATAACATTCAAATACATTTAAAATTTAAAATGGAAACTCGTTTCAAGGCTGTTTGTTTGGTTGAGATTGTTTGTATAATTTTTGGGGATATTTGGAAACAACTCACCTCAATTGAGTTTGTTTTCATCCAAAACTATTTGTTTCACTTAATTTGAGTGTTTTGGGTGATAATTTGTGGTTCTATTAGAGAATTACAGTTTCGTGCATTAAATTTTAGATTCACCATTTTTTTTTCTTCTTGCATCTTTAGTTTTCATTTAATATTTCTGCTCATTTGCTTTTTATTACATCTTGAGGTAATAATATTGATTCGTTGTTGCCTAATTAACATAAAAATTATCATACACTTATTTATATATCAAGTGTGTGT